ACTGGCAAGTAACAAATGGTTGGTGATACTACAATGAATGAAGAGGCAATATCTATTTTTATATAGTATTTCTCTTTTTAGTTATATTTTATTAACAAAGAAATTAATTGCAACTTTTATTTTATTATTTTTGTCAGACTTGCATTTTCGTAGGGATAAGTAACATCCTTTTCTTTTTTTGGAAGGGGGGTGATACTTAATTTACTTTTGTAAAAAATGTATTTCTTACATAAATCTTGGGTTAATTATTTCTTATATATATCGTCGTAGAAATACTATTTTATTAATCATAAACGTGTATAATATTTTGTTATAGACGAAAGAAAAAGTACAATTTACGTACAAAGTGCATCGGCACATTCGGATCTGTATAATAACATAAGAAATGGATGTATTGTTAATAAGAAAACATCCGTTTTAGTTTTATATCCTATGTATACTTTTGTGTAATATACAATACGTACACAAACATAACAGTGTCTGTGCAATGTCTAAAGCAACTGTATTATAAAAATGTGTAAACATACGTCTATAATTGTAATATATACGTTTAATATATAAATACTATATATTATTTAAATGGACCACGTATATATTGTAATTATATGTGTGTATCTGAAACGTGTATTTTTTCACTGCATATTTTGTCTTTGTTGATATGTAGGATACAAACTCAATAAAGAACTGATGTCGTAGTAAGACTTATCTCTAATAACAAAAAAACATGCAACGAATAAAATGTTTTCCTTGAATTAACGTTCGTTTCTATGAAGACAGTTATTGTAATTCGATCTTTTTGTCGAGCACTGTTATAGGATCTGTAATTTTCTTTATAATTTTAGATTGTGGACGAAATGTTGTTTAAATTTGTACACCTTTGTCTTCCTGCATTATCAGGTCATGTGTCGTAGAACCTTTTTCTTGATCGTCCATTTCATTTGAATTATTTGATTCTATTAAACTGGAATCAAGCCAATCATTTATGTTCATTGTTTCATTAGCGTTTGATTGTTCCGTTCTCTGTTGATTATTCTCATGTGCCTGAAATAGACGTCTCGCTAAGAATGCACGATTACGCTAAAAGCTCCAGCTATCGAGCCATAATAAATTTATTTAACGTACCAGATCCGTGAATCTGTGAATCAATTCTTGACTTTTGGCAGAAAGCCTTTTATAAATTTTCTCTGCTTGGTCTGGATTGATATTTAATTCTATCAACGATGTAAGCACATCTCTTTCAGTTAGGATTAATTCAGGATTCGCATCGACTAATACAACAGACTTATCGGTAACGCTTGATTTACGTTTCTTTTCATTGTTCTCTGTCTGAAACGACATTAACTTTTCTATGATTTTGTTCTCGTTCAAAACTTTAGGAGGCGTGGGAGGTCGAGGATCAGCATTATTAGAAAATCGTCGGTCATAAATAAGAATATCCAATTCCTCGTCATCCGAATCGTCCGGAACACCCAAAGCGAGCTTCAACTGATAGATTTCGTATATCATTTTATTCTGTTCAGACATAGGCAACGCATTACTTTTATTTGCAGCTAGCTAAATCTAATTTGAATGAAAAGAATGTAAACGTAAATCTGACCATATTTAGAAATTCTTTATTTCTTTCCAAGTGCTTCTTGAATACCTCCCGCAACTGTTCATCGGTATACAAACGATTATATAGTATATCGTGCGTGATTTCGTATACGAAATTTACATACTTCGCTTCTTCCTCTTTTGCGCAAATTTTCTGGTTTAACGTTAAATCCGGTTTCGTATTAGTTTCAAAGTTTTCGTTACGTCTTGTTGAATCAACCTCAGTCGAGGGATGATCAGCCTCGTGCGTTGGAAAATCGGGAACTCTTTCGTAAAATATCGAATCTCTATCGTGTCTATAATTTAATGTATTATTCAATTAACGTTACAGTATAATGTTAAGAACGAACAGTTAAAATTTGGAAAGTCAGAAGAATTTTTTACTGAACATTCCTCACCGATGATGCGACATTTCTTGTCCCTTTAACATAGTTTTTCTCTTTTGTTCGCCCATTTGTTTATCACTGTATGTAAATGTTTCTAACTTATTTGGTTTGAATATCGGTGATCTTGAACAAATTGTGTGATCGTGCAAACTTAACTGTGAACGAATTGCATCATAATCGTAAGTATCAAAGAAATACCTTTGATTTCCATCACGACGTAAATATCTTGAATTGTAATGTATTCGTAAAATATCCTGTTTATTAATTGAAAAATTTATTACACGTTACAAGGGAAACAGTTTACGTTTGAAAATAGAAAAGACCTGAGAAAAACCTCCCCCTTTCTAATGCCATCTCAAGGTTTCACATTTGCGTATTTTAATAATAATGTAAATTTTAGATAACTTTGAAGTTTTGAAACCTTACATATTGAAGTAATTATTCAAAGGCATTCCATACAACAAATTTATAGCAAACACAAGTGTGAGCGATGTACGAAAATAATTTACCGCTGCATGATGCAAACTGTCGTATGCTAATCGGTCAATTAAGTCATTCGTAATCCTTCTCTTCGTAAAATGCGGCTTGCATTCAACTTGTTTGCAGAATTGTTTTTTTCTGCTTGTACAGTTTTTGTTTCTCGAGTCGATAACACATTTTGCAAGTAAAACGCGGCGTAAGTGCGAACTCATTGAATTGTACGCTGTCAATTGCTCAAAATAGTTTTGCCCATTATGATTGTACGCTACATTGGTAATTGTAGGAATTATTATAAATTTACAGAGTACCCTTTCGTTATATACATTACGTGTTCTATATTGTATTATTCGTACCACTACTTTTTAGGCTAGTTTCGCTTCTATTCCATTTCATCATTTCTCGTGTTTTCCACTATTCTCAGGCGGAGTTGTTGCTCTATTTTTTACTAGATTTATATAAAATTAAATAATACTTCATGTACTTAAAATTTTGACTACTAACCACTAAAAAGCGTCTTATTTTTATGTAATAACCATGCTTCACAATGAAACATACGCCAAGTGAAAATTGTTTTTCTATCCGTTGCTAAGTAACACATAGCAGGTCTACATACTTTTTGTTCAACATGTTTAGTAAAAGATATTATCGCAAATAGTTTGTTTCATTTATGTATATATGAATAAATGATCGTTCCAACAAGGTTTTGATTACTGATTTTACTTCTCATTAAAATATTAATAATAGCTACCTTCATTTAGTAATCGGCAATTAATAATAATTAGATTTTTAATACATTGGTTAAGTTTGCTCATTTGTATGGGATTCGAAATTTGCTCAAGAAATTGCATTTACATATGTACGTCTGATAAGCGAGTATATGCACGTAGGAATGCAATAGTGCTGCAGTGCTTGTTATGTATTTTTAATAAGAATGATTGTTGAATTGAAAGATAATATTACAAGAGTACATCATTTTCTTAAGTACGTGATACAATGGAGTTTATTCATTTCGTAACATGAGTGCTGAGTTTGTTTAATCTAACCGATTCACTGCTGATATGGCGATCAAAAATATTGATGATATAACCTAAATCGCCACATGCTATAAATTGTAGATAGTGACACGTTATGTAGGTAAAAAACATTCCATTAAAATGAATAATGTCTATGAGAATTTGACAATTAAAGACATAGCCAACTGGATTGCCTCTGGAGCAATTATATTTGGTGGAATTATTCCATATGTACCTCAATATAGAGAAATTAAAAAAAGAGAAGATGCAGAAGGGTTTTCCCTTTATGTATGCCTTGCATTGTTAATAGCCAATACTCTACGTATCTTTTTTTGGTTTGTATTTTCATTTTAAAAAGATTATAAGTATGGAAAATAATAACGATAGATTTCATTCATATATGTTTCACAGGTTTGGAAAACATTATGAAATACCGCTTTTACTGCAAAGTATATTTATGATCATTACTATGTTTATTATGATTAAACTTTGCGTTAGTGTAAAAAACAGAAATCAAATAATAAAAGCCAGAGAACGTGTGTTTGCTGGTAAGTTTCAAATTATAAAGTTAATAAAAAGTTCTGATTTCAACATTTTTTATCCTTTATGAAATAACATGTTTTTGTATTTATGAACTATTTTAAAACTCAATTTACATAGATTTAGATGCAAATTTTTTTTGGAAATGGACAGATTTTCAATCATATTTGGATTTTATGCTGTTATTCGCTGCACTGGTAGGAGGTCTAACATATCTGTTAGTAGATGTACCAATATTTGTTGAAACTATAGGATTGCTTGCAGTATTAACAGAAGCTATGCTTGGAGTGCCACAATTTGTTCGTAATTTTGTAAATAAGTCAACTAGTGGAATGAGGTATGATATAATAAATTTCCATAAGGAAAGTAATTAAACAAATAAATATCCTTATTATTAATTCTATTTTAATTTCAGTATAATCATGGTTAGTATGTGGACATTAGGTGATGCATTTAAAACATGTTATTTTATCATAAAAGAAGCTCCAATTCAATTTGAAGTTTGTGGTATTCTTCAAGTTATAATTGATATTGCTATTTTAGCACAAGTATATATTTACCAAAATAGTAGTACTGTACATACAAGAGTTCCAGTAAGAGCTGATTGAGTATTGCATTTTACATCTATTGAAATTATGAAACATTCATTGTACAGTTTTTATATTAACTAAAAAATTTTATCCGTGTTATTTAACAATACTTATTATTCCTTATATTTATGTAAAACATAAACGAAATGCACAATCCATTAAGACATATTTTTTTAATTATATTGAAATTTCTGTACTCTTCGATTGTTTGATATATGTATAAAATTTTATAAATAAACTACGTTAGAACTACATATAAAGTTTTAATAAAAAAAGTAAAAATCATTTATTGTTTTGTAGTTCGAATTGTAAAGTAAATTATTACTTTTATCTATTATTAAATAGATAACAAAATTTGATCATACCATAGTGGCGTTATCTACGATAAAATCCGTAAGCTACTAAACATACATTAATAGCTATCTAGTGACGAAAACATGCTACTAATTGGCTAGCAGTTTGGCGACTTCTGCGACAGATGGCGTAATCATCACAATCTTGTCACTGACGTCACGTCAGTGGAGTGGGGCTTACCCCCATAGCGATATGGTCTCGCTGAACAGTAAACGTTGTAAGCCAGAGATGCACATAGTGTGAGATAAACGCATCAGTCTCAAGACGCCTTGATCCATTGCTTCTTTCATCGGTGCAGCCTGTGCAGTCGTGGAGGCTGCTGTCTGGCCAATAACATTACCCGTTGGCTAGAGGATCTTCACAATCTTTGCCCTTCTTGCACGTACATATATATCCATCCTTACCTTACGCATTTCTAACCTTACGAGACTATCAATTCATTCGAAAATCAGGAATAACTCATTAACTATAACCCAAATGTAACAAACATTCTTACTGGAATGTTACTAAAGGTCCACTCTAATTTCTTCAGCTAAAAAATTCACCAATTATGTCTGTGAAGCCAGAAAATTAATGTCTCACTGGAGACCCGACAAGATACTTGAGATTACCGAGGGGTAAGGCTTTAAAGAATTCTTAATAAATTAATGAGAAAAACATCCTACCAAAAGTGACATGGGATAGTAGTTAAAAGTCTATTTTATATTATGTAGTTGCAAATATTAACGAGTCGTTAACAGGAATGGAGATATTAATGAATTTTGCTGTCCGTTCTGGAGGCTATTGAGTCTCCCTCTCTCTTTCGAGCTAAATGATATGTCTGTCCTTATCGGTTACCCCTTTGGTTATCATACTTCGCGCGCAGGTACGAGAGACTGATGAAATGCTTTCTCAAGTTGGTGGCATTGGAATTTCTCTATCTGTTCTTGTCGCCCAGTTCATCTGTCCTTGTCTAAATCGTACAGTGCATATCCGAACGTTTGCTTTTTTTACATGACCGGCATTTCAGACCATTGGGCACGAAGTCCCATAAGATGTCCAGTACAAACTTTACAGGATAAATCCACATATAAAACGATTTATTTTCATGAATCAATGGAAATTATTTTTTATAATAATATATATTCGATAAATGCTATTTCTATCGTTCAAATATCTCCGGCGCGTGCATTCGTCGTTGCCAGGTTGAGTAGAACACTCGTAGCAGAAATGAAGTATATAGCTAATTCGATTCGTACTAACAAGTTTAAAATTTGCATTATCGGTAACATCGAGCGCGACACCGAAATGATAAGGGATTCTCGAGACCCTGGAAGCCGTAGAAAAAAATTCCTATAAGCTGCAACATATGTACGTATTTTAAATCTGTACTATGGTCCAATTAATACCATATTTTGGATAGTACATAGTGCTACATATGCAATTAATTACACCTATAATTCCGTATAAAACAGTAAATATCAATTGAAAACGCAACGACTAATAATACGTATATGTAATGCATAATATATTGTAATAAAATTCAGTCAGTAATCTTATATCATTGAAAATAATATTTCATCGTGATTTTCTTTGTCTTCCTACATATTTTGTTGTACATTACATGGTTATATTATATTTTCATAAAATGAATTATTTGAATAGTCCACATTTCTGAAGAATAAGATTATTAAAAATGGCCTAAACTTAAATTTTGATGTCCGTTTTCGTACTCTCGCAATGTTATATATTCTCCCTAGATCTAGATAGTTTTTTTGAACGTTTGCTGTCGTGAGTACTGGATTTTAGGCATGTAGGATGGGCATTGCATAGTGAATCAGTGTGTAAAGGGAAAATGTGTATTTCAAGATAAATGTGAAGTACTGTGGAATAAATTCAGAGTGATAGATTTGGATTGTTAAATGTTGTTTACATTCTTTTTTATTTTGTTTTGGGACACCCGAAGCTATTCAGTCTTTGTGTTTTAAGATTATGAGCTTCAATTTTAACCTTTAATGACAGTTGGGCAGTTGTAGGTAATTATTTTATTTTCTTGATAGATATGGTAATATATATTGTATCTCTCTTAAGTAATTATACTTTCGTGCATTTTAAATAAACTTATCACATAATATAATAAATATATTACTATAAGAAGTACGAAATAAGTATTTTAGTCTGTCCAGGCGAAAGAATTTAGTATGTAATTGTAGGTTAAAGACGAAGTAGGCGCGCACATGATTCACGTGAAAAATAGTATGTAATTTGAATTTTTTCTCGAACTGAAGGAATAAAAGATATTTTCCACTAATTTATTCAGCATTAAAACACTAAAGTAGTTATAGAAACGTATCATTTCTATTTCTTTTTTTATCAGATACTATCCACATATTGTTCACATTTGTAATGATGCCGTTGGTTCATTTGTTTATCGTTCATTTAATTTTAGTTTAGAAGGGTATACATTTGTTACAGTTGTTGTAGATACTACAGAGAATATCAACATGCAGACAATAAAGTGCGTTGTAGTTGGCGATGGTGCCGTGGGTAAAACGTGTCTTCTGATTTCATATACGACCAATAAATTTCCATCCGAATATGTACCCACAGTTTTTGATAATTATGCTGTCACAGTAATGATAGGTGGTGATCCGTATACTTTGGGATTATTTGATACTGCTGGTAAGGATTATCGTAACTTCATACTTCATATTTCAGCTCTTGTAAGGAAAGATTATTAATGGCACGGTACATTATAGGTCAGGAAGATTACGATAGGCTGCGGCCATTAAGTTACCCTCAAACAGATGTATTCCTCGTTTGTTTTTCTGTAGTGTCGCCTTCGTCGTTTGAAAATGTTAAAGAGAAGGTTAAAATTTATCAGAGAGTACTCACTTATGTATACAGAGGTAGTAGAAAGGTATGTTTATCGGACGTCTGTTTTGCTTTAGTGGGTGCCAGAAATAACGCATCATTGTCCAAGGACACCGTTTCTGCTCGTCGGCACTCAAATCGATTTGAGAGACGACGGTGCTACTACCGAAAAATTGGCAAAAAATAAGCAGAAACCGATATCGGCGGAGCAAGGAGAGAAACTTGCCAAAGAGTTGAAAGCAGTGAAATACGTGGAATGTAGTGCCCTTACGCAAGTAAATACACACTCAGAATGTACCATGTTTTCTGTAGTTCTATTTCGGCAATTCAACGAGCATTTAACTTTACAGAAAGGCTTGAAGAACGTGTTCGATGAAGCTATACTAGCTGCGCTCGAACCACCGGAACCAGTAAAGAAAAGGAAATGCGCGCTCTTATAAAAAGGGTATTTATTTTGAAAGTGATGCATGTCCAGAAGGGAAACAAAAGTTACGTGTAACGACAGCGAGCGGCAAATCTAACGCGTAGTATAAAAAGCACTGTTAGAAAATTGAAACTGTGCTTTCGTGGTTCCTCTTTTGGAAAAGAAATAACTAATCATCGAACAGAAATGTAAACAGCCGCTAGTATCAACACGACAATTCCAATCGATGTAATTGTATCTATACTACCACGTTACGATCGCAACCACATTCCACGCAGCGTGAAATTCTAGCTTGAAATTTTGATCGGCTCATACGTTTCGAACTGTACTGCACAAACGTTTTCAAATTTTTGAAACTTCGCTTCGGGAGAGGGAGAGAGATTACGCGTACAAACAAAGCGTTACTACATTTTTTTCGCTAAAAAGACTCGTTCGAGAGATCTCCGTCGTTCAAAATTTTATGCGATACTCGTATCGCAACGATTGGTGCTATCGCTGTTGACGACGTTCTCGCGTTTCTAGTATTCACGAATTATGCAGATCGGTACGCAAGAGGCATTCGTCGAATCTGTCAAAGATCAGTCCTTCTAGGGGTGAAAGAAAGACAATTTGGAGTGTTCCTTTATATACCTATATATACTGGACGAAATTGTTCCGAGCGAGACCAGTATTAGAGATTTTGCGACTAATGTATAGACATACAGTACATATATCATAGATACCACGGTTTATAGATACGTATGTGTAACTCAGACTGCATATAACGAAGCGAACGGAAACGTTGTCATCGTCGTTTCTTTGCGTCAGGTATTGTTGCAAATATTTTCAAAGTCTGCCCCACCGATTCGATTCCGTAGAAGGCAGCTGTGCCAGGCAAAGCGTTTCCGCGGAACCGTGTTGCTTTCAAAGACTTCCGGCATCTGATTTTGTACATATCAGCGCCTGTCACGACACACATCGATCGATTTAATTAAACCGACAGAGCAAACGGTATGAATAAATACGCATTTACACTTACTTCGTCGGTAAGACTCGAGTCCATCGGCGGTATACCGGGTAGCACTGACGATCAGCGGCGCTAACCGCGGCTGACCGAAGTGTTACCGCGAGTTCAATACGAAAACGACCTAATTCGGGTCGTCTTGGTCGACGCGATTGCATATTATTTATTGACCGACCATCGTATTATTCGTTGATCAACCATTCTCACCGCCTAATATTTTTCTCACCAACTTGTTTAAACGTAACGTAAGCTGGGTATACCCGCGAACGGGAAGCTCGTCCTTTGGGGCGTGACCTTTTTCACCAGATCGTACAACTTCGTGTTCGTGTTCGTGTTCGTGTTCGTGTTCGTGTTCGTCTTCGTGTTCGAATAGGCACCGCGCGTACGATAACCGAGATCGAGTATCGCGGGGGAATCAACGATCGTACACCCTGTATCCAGTTAAGAGAGGTGGCATTTAGTAGCATTGTACGTGTCACACTATGTAGACACAAAACATATAACGAAATATTCACATAAATATATTTATACTATGCATAAAGAAGGGACACGTCAATTCCAGAGCGAACTCCGTAAGGCCTATTGCATTCTCGTCCTGTCCACTGTTTCCTTTCTGGAAAGTAACAATAACGAATTCATTGGCGGAACCCCTTCGGCGCGAGACAACTAACCATTTGCACTCGAGAGGTGACTCGGTGACCACTTGATTCGATACATCAAAATTACAAAAACCTTACACGTAAGATTAAGCTTTGTACAATGCGTCGACATGTGAAATATTGAAATAAAATAGCTTCGTTTCTTAACCCACGGTATATTTTCTCATCGGTTTCAAAGAATCTCCTCTATCATCGAAAACCATCGAACGTTCCCAGTGGAAAACTTTCGAGTGCAAACAGTTAATAACAAGGATCAACACTAGAACTATCAGATTGTCCAGAACAATGTAGAACTTCTTCCTTTAGAATCATTGGAAAGCCACAAATGATTTTCCGTAGAACTATTAAGCGAATCTTTATCGGTAGCGTATGAACTAAAACGCGAGTCCATCTAAGTTCCGATGAACGCGTTCTAACTTGTACAAGAAATCTGTCTGTTCCTTCCACGCGGTAGTTCCAGTGTTAAGCTGAGAGTAAGAACAAAGAGTGCAACGCATACAAAGTAGACAATCTAGCAGAAATGACAACAAAGCATTTTAGTTTCGTAGCTCACGGAGGACTAGATCGGAGACTGCACCGTGAAAGACTGTGCCCCGCGGGTACAAGGAACTCGGCGCGGCGTTCTCTGCTCGGATCGGCACGTGCGAACGGAAATGCAGGCTGCGGAGAGATAGAAACGGGAGGCAGTCGTTCGACGATGATCCAACGGTGCACCGTGGACGTAGTTTGCTCAGCGTTGGCTCCTTGCTGCCTTTTCCCTCTACGGCTGATCGGTTCTTTTCCGTTCCTCTCCCCTCCCCCCGCCGTCCCGAGCGGCTACTCTTTTCTCTCTCCCGCCCACTCCGCCCTCTCCGGCCAGTCCTCTTCTCATCTCTTCGTTTCCCGTCGTTCTGTTTCCTCGATTGCATCGCCGTGTAACGTGGCGCGCCGCGCCTTGTGGTTACTTCAATTAGGTGGATTCGTGGTTACGTATCGACGTACTGGAGCGAGTTAACCACGCCGACACAGAGGGTACGCCAGTCACGGACTCATCACGGACGTGCCTCCGGACTCCCTTGACATTATCGCTAATCATCTCGAATCGATTCTTGTATCCACGAGGAACGGAACTCGCGGTCCGCCGGGCTGTACGGCTGCGTTCCTGTTTTATCTTGCTTCGAGCGCAATCACTCGGAATCCTGCTCCCTAGTTTGCTACTTATTGCTAGGTTCTTCTCTGGCCAGCGAATCGCGACAACGCTTAGAACAATCGGATGCTCGAGAGTTTCGGTTGTCTTTCGATGCTCGTTCCTGAATATTCGGGTGTCGTTACGTATTCTTCCAACGCGGATACTTATAACCATTGTTACCGTAGACAACAACTTTCTAGGATTCTTTTATGAATCTGATCTCAGTGAGACTCCGGTCCACATTGTTATATTACTTCTTACGTGTATCTCGATTTCCTTACCGTCCAACGAGATGCTATTTATATTTTATAGAAGTGAAATGTTACCTACCATCAATCCTCGGAGTAAACGTAGACACAAAGTGAACATCAAATTCGTTTCATCGGCTAAATCGTGAACGACACGACGGTTCTATCGAGCACAGTTTCCAAAGAAATCGTAGGACAAGGGGTTGAACGCGAGTTCGATCGTAGATGCGAATCGCGACAGGTCCGGCGATCAATCGGGCGCGAGGGGCGAAATTCGGCTGTTGGTGGTGCGTGTAATTCTGAAGCACGCGGAAAGAGACAGCCGCGTAGAAGCCCGTATACGTAGAGGTACGTATTATAAAACAAGTTGACCACCTGGTGGCAGCCGCGCGGGGGGCCTTGAGCCGCACGTTGACACAACTCATTTTTACGCGGTGTCCCACGCACGATGGGCGGCCGTGCTCGTCCTCGATCGTCCTCGCTCTTACACGCCAGCGCGCCGCTGCTCCTTCTCCGTGTTTCTGTTGCTTTTCGCTGGGCAAATGGAACCACCGCTCGCTCGGCCGACTAATGGCGCGAGATCCGTGTCGCAGTCATCGGGGGCTGCTTCTCGGTCCACCTCCCGAGATGCCATCGATTCTCCGAGATTCTATCGCGAAATCTTTTCAAGCCCTTCCGTTCGCTGTTTCGACGAAACGTTTTACAAGATACTCTTCTCTCGCCTCCACCTTTCGCTCTCTCTACGGCTCAGCCCGAGAGCGTGATCGTAATAACAGTTGATTCGATGGAAACGCGAGTAAAATTAAGTGAAAAGTCTTCAACTCGTACGATCCGATTAATGTCGTTAGCGCACGTGTTATCTGTGTAGGTTTGTCTGTTAATTTCAGTGTTTCACGGAGAGTCTTTTCGAAGATATCGTAGTAAAGTTGCTCGCTAGGACTTAAGAAGCTGTTTCGACTTTTATTCACGGATTACCAGTTTGTTCTACCTACAGAAGTAGTTGAAATTATAGTTTAGCGTCGCATGAACTATGTTGCAGTTGAAGTTGGGACACTGTTACAACTTTCGTAAGCGTGAATCGTGTCTTTGAACTGTACCGTGTGATGTCTATGAGAATAGGTGCGTCTGTTCGCGGCACGGACCAAAACCCGACGCAGAAACCTATCCTAGCTCGGATTCTGGTATCTGGCCGAGCAGCGATAAACGCGCCAAGTGGCACGCGTCGCTCACCTTTCTTCCGAACACTCAAGACGTCGTTTTAACGTAAACCAGACTCTCGACCGATGTTCCTTAATCGGAACAAGCCTCTGGCCTGCTGCTCGCGACGAGAATTTACGCGGAGCCTCGGGTATTTCGGATACAGGCCGATAAGTTCGTCCTTTCTTCTTTTTTCTGCTTGTAATAAGCATTCGCAACTCGAATTCAACGAGTCTCCTCATCGCGAAGAAACATAAACAGCCTAATAGAATCCCTCGAAAAGATAAACCTACGGAAAGAAATTTAAGAACCCGGTAACCCTAAACAAAGAAAAGAGGAAAAAGAAAGTACCTCTGTCGAAGTGGCAATGTAATAAACAAAGTACTACGAAAGGACAGATAGTCTATCGTCCGTCTTCCGAAGCTATCATTCTGACGATCAGCGAACCGAAACATTTAGCAGACGATGTTTACAAAATTCGGTACGAGTCGATTCGGCTCGTTCCATAAATCTAATGTTAAAGTTACGATCGGCTTCTTTTATCGCCGCGCGTACGCGTCTGGCACGCGTGCTCGTGTCACAGCTGCCTCCACTTCCGGCCGATCTTAACAGGAAGAAACGACGCGGGATCGTTACGTTTCCCAAAAGTCATCCGAGATTGTCGCAGCGAATCCGATAACGCGCGCGCGCAGGAGGCCGAGAGGTCCGCTCCGGGCTTTACGACGGTCATTCTTCTCGTTCGAAACGGATCGGATCGGATCTTTTAAAATTCGTCTCTCGATCCGCGTTTCTGCGGGGGATGGCCCTCGAGTTCCTCGGGCCGCGCGGAAGGGTATCTCCCGCTGGGACGTTTTCCACATATTTATACCTTCATATCCCGGCTCTAGATTTCGAATCGGTCAACGGGATTTACGGTAACCGCCGCTACGATTTCCCGATGTTCCATCGGAATGAACTTTTTATGAAGTTTTTCGGGGCCGCGTAGCAGGTCGAGATCCGATCGGGGGCTAGGGAAATTTGTCTAGGGGTGGACGCCGAGTTTCGGACCGAAAGTACTCGGTCGATCCCTTGAATTTCGATGGGGATTAGGCTGGACGGAGATTTCGTGCTTGTAGCTTCGGACGTGCGATGGGAACCTTTCTTTTTCATAGAAAGTATTGTTCCTTTTCAATTGTAAATTTATATTTTGTACGTTCCTTCGATACTTAATGTTACAGTTTGTAACGTAGTCAGGTATAACATCGGTTCGTTTCCTTAAGATAGTGTGTACACATTACAAGCTTCAGGTCCGAAGGGGTGAAACTAAAGTGCAATGCAGGGTAGACCAAGGCGAATCGGAACAAAGACTCCGGTTTACCTCACTTTTCCTAAGGAAACGTTCCAAACTTCCTTCTCATTTCCCATCGTTAACACGTAGACGTAAATGTCGTCCATAGCCATCGAATGCTCGCGAATGTAGCTGCAAATCACGGCAATGGCGGCCTATATTCTCAGTACCATAAATCAAAGAATATAATAACTTTACTCTGAAGCCTTGGGTTCCCCAGGAATCAACCGATTGACAAAAAAAGAAGAGTTGCCTCTTCGTTCGTCACCGATTTCAAAGTGAGCGTCAACGTGTTAACGTACAGTTAACAGTACAGTCCTCCTACGCTATTAAACGAAACGATCGTTCGTATCCCATCCGCCAAGAACCCCACGATCTTCCTGTTGAAACCCGAAGAGATCCGATCGAGGCCAGGGAAATTCGTTCGGGGGTGGAAACCGAGGTTCGCCGGGTCCCTCGAATTTCGATGGAAACTAGAATGTCGTGCGGTGCGGGCGAGTGCAGGCGAGCGAGCAGAAGTCGAGAGGCGACGTGGGTGGCAACAATAGCTCTCTCGAGCGGCAAGATTCTGGTGGCACGACATGCATTGTACGACCACAGTTTGAAGGTGATTGATCACCGTCGGCGATCGCGCGTACACGCGCACGTCGCGCTGGGACCGTCCCCTTCCATCTTCCACGAGAGGACGACGCGTACTCGCCCAACATGCCCGGCCGGCAACGAACTGGTCGTCGTCGTCGTCGTCGTCGTCGTCGCTGCCGTCGGACCCGTCGTCGTACAGATCTGGATTTCCGATGGAACCGCGGGGGGCGAACGCGCCACGACGCGACGCATCTGATTTTGACCGATCGACGGGCAAACAGCCACGAACCGGCGACCGTTCCTGCGCGCCGGCTAGGATTCCGCGGTTATTAGCGACGACACGGGATCATCGCTTAACCCCTTCAGCCCTGACGCGCGTTATAATGTACACTGTTTTATTAGCTCAATGCCCGAGGGAACATGGAAATTTTGACGAAACTTTTATACTCGAGATTCATATTATTATTCAACGACAGTCCTTCGCCGGGAAAGTCAGGTCTGAAGGGGTTGACCTTTTTACAGAATTGTCTTAACGTCTAACCAATAATGTTGCCTTCTATTCTGGTTGTTCCGTTATTTAGTAAGTCTCGAATTGGAGTTATCCGCAATTCATCGCATACCTTCCTTCCATGAATCGAAGTTTTTAACGAAGTTGAATCTGTTCGATTAAAGTTAACGAAGAAGTTTAGAGTAGTTCTTAGGCGATTGCCTAAGTGTTAATTGCCGAGATGAATGTTAAGGGATTGGGATCATTTTTGTACTCGTTCAGTCCTCCGTAATCGGAGATCCTACAATTGGCTGTAATTATGTAAAACTACGATAAATGTCAGTATTAAAATATTGGTTTCATTAGGTATAGTGATATTATTATTTAACGAAGTAGTTTCGCGGAGTGCCTGAGAGAATGCGTTCTTGGAGGGAGGTTCGAGTGTTTAAAGCGTTAAGCACATATTAGAATTGTTATCAAGCGACTCAACAGCGTCGGTCATCGGTGACCGCCATAGCAGTGAACGTGTTAATCGTCGCGTAACGTCTGCTCGGAACCGCGAAAAGGCGGAACGGTTTTCTTCACGCATGCCTGACGCGATCGATGCCAACACGAACATGTTCGACGCGTGTCACGGTAACCGGTGCGCGCCCGAGGAAAATCGAACCTCGTTTCTGCATCGCTTCTGTTAACAAGTCTCGCGCGGCTGCTATAGTACCCACCTATCTCCAACTGCAGCCTTCCTGCAAAATTCAGCGTCGCTGCGTTTTACACTCTATTACGATACCTCCGAGTATTACAGGGGGTGGCGGTGACGTCGGTCTAACGGGATTCTTGCAATTGACGCTGGAACTGTCGGACGGATCAAAGACCCGCGTTATTCTTTTACGATCGTCGAAAAGGGAACAGATGCTCCGTGAAGTTTCCGAAGAAACTGATTTAACAACAGGCAATCTGAACTATAAGCCAATCGTCAGATTCGTTTAGTATGTCGCGAATAGTACAAAGCAGCGTGTGTCGAATGACCATAATCGTAACAGTTATTTTCTATGTCTCATGAAATGAGGTAGTCTTAGAAAAGAAATTGTACGTTGTCTTCCCTTTCGCAAAAGTTTAATAAAAGAGATAGTAAGGCGAACTCGTTATGTAAATATAATTAAGTTCAAAGTAGAATTTAATAGAATTAAAATAGATATCGGGGTGTCCGAGTCGTTCGAAATGACATTTCACTTGGCGATTCACTTTCAGTTTCAACGTCAATGTTTATCTTTCTAATGGATTTTATTACAATACACATTGTACGAGTAACAGAGTTATACGAAAACCGTAGACACATTCTTGTCTCTATGGAAGAATAGGAACAAGTCAATTCGACTGACTGATGGTTCCAGCGTTACAGTCCCGATGCTTTTACCTTGTCGGTCAGAAATAGATGACAGAAGGTGATGCACGGGACCAAGGTTTCAACGACGCCGAGTCGTCGTGCCGGAGGAAATTTTCCGATCTGAAATTAAAATGAGACACGCGACGTAAACCGCGGAGTAATCGATGAACGGGTTTCTCCGTACGTCTTGTCATGGATGGCGTGGACGGATTAAAAGGGGACCTGGGAGCCGGGATCGGGACGAGGATCAACCATCCGATCGACCGTTCCTCGGTTCGACAAAGACGGTGGGCGCGGTAGCGGAATATCATCGCGCCGGTTACCGAGAACCAAAGGCAGCGCCTCGCCACTAAACAGAATTGCCAAGCAGTAAAATTGGCTGTTCGGTATTTTCTTGTAAAATCTCGAACAATACACGGTACTCGCGTATCACACGGACAACCTTTATTTTTAAGAAATAAAATGTTAACCCTTTGCGGACGAATATCGACATTTCGACGAGATCAAACTTTCATATTTGGTACACTAAGTAGCAGACAGATAATTTAATTACTGAAACAGCAAGAGATCGGTACGTAGTTTTCTGTTGTTTTTTTTATTGAAACAACCGATGTATCGTTTAGTTTCATCCGCAGACGCTTTTGTATATTTCAAAGAATCTTCGTCGGTAAAGGGTTGATAATAGCAGTAATAACAATGATGATGATAATAACATATTAATAATGTGTTATGATATTAAATAAATAGTAATCTAGACCTGATCCAAACGACTGACTAGTGCAACCTTCGCTTAGGGAGCAAAAGTAATTGTACTTTCTCTATACTTTCTATAAGCTTCATACCTGTCTGTTGGGAGTTTCAGTTAAGTTTTTTTGGTGACTAAGTTCTGTCAAACGTAGACCCTTAACCCCTTTGTTTCCACGGAGGTACCATTGAAACAGCTCTAACCTCGCGCGACAGTTTGCAAATTTAATGATCACGTGTTTTGCGATAGGGCTTATTTTATAAAAGTTCCCTTGTTTAAGTGTGCTCGAAATAATAAATGAAAGTTGTTGCTGCGCAACGATGACGCGACGTTTTAACACTAGAACTGTCAGATGTTCCGACCCATTTCAAAACTTTTATTTCGCAGCCGTCGAAATAGTTCAAATACTTTCATAGGGATCTGTCGGATCGGTTCATGTATTCGGTTCGAGTTTTATAGTTATCACATATCATATTAAATGCTCGATAGTGCTAATCACTATAAAACAGTTTCAACAACCGTACTCCGTGTCGAATGCTGGTCGCATTGGTCAGCCTTTCATCTTTCCTCGCTCATTTTAGATACTAATTCGCTATTGATCAATATGTCACTTAACCAATCCAACACGAGTCAGCTGGGGTCAGAAGTCACAGTGCAAAGGAGTAACGCCGAGTCGGCATGTGAATCATTCGAATTGATTAGGACTAAGTATAAGTTCATTAGGTAGGTACGAATGGGAATTAATCGAGAGACCAAGTACGGAAATGCGTACATCATTACAGCCGTACGTGCGCAAGTATCCCGGTGCCTCGCCTTGGCCACTGAAATAGAAATAGTAAACACACGTGCGCGGTAATTACGCGTGACCGTAGAGCCAGCGAGATCGCCTTAAATTAGGGTCTCACCGGCACTCGTTACGGCGCCACGTTTTCGTTTCGGGGGACACTGAAATTCAACGACTCCAATTTTCATTCACCCCGACTTCGACTGCGAACACACATCGATATGCCCGGTAACACCGAACGACACGTTCGTTAATGAGGTTTCATCCTCTACTTCGTCAGTCCCGCGTACCCGCGCGATACTACCGCCGAGCTCAACAAATTACTCGCATCAAATCGCTTTATCGCCGCAATTTTTTCTAACCGACACTGAATTTCGAGATTATCCGCAGCGCTTACGCTCTTAATCTGAAAATTCGGTGTCGCCGCTGCCGATGTCACTGAGAAGATTCACCTTTGAGTCTATCTGAAAAGTGAAACCGCGCGAAACAATCGGAAACATAGGTATCCCTCGATATTTCTCTACGCAAGACTCGATATACCTCTAAACAGAATTGAAAATAAAGACGCCTAAACAATATCAGGCCCCGTCACTCGGCAGTTACTTCAAAATTGTGAATACGAACGAGCGATGAGTAATCCCGTATTCGAACCGACCGAGGTTGCGACGCGGCCCCGTTGTTTCCGGGGGAGGTGTTTGCGAGCTTGGTTCCTCGTGGAGGTGTTTTTCCGCTCGGAAAACGGTGAACGATATTCGGTGTTTTCCTTCGAACTCGCCGGGCCACGGGTTTCGCCGGGAAATCGCTCGCCGGTGCTCGGGCAGCGCTCATTTTAATACAAATTGTCCCGTGCTGTCTATACGACGCTGCCGCATGTCGCAGGGGCAACATCGCGTCCCTTGCCGTCATTACCAACCCCTCGGTAAACGAGTTCACTCGATCGGTAGCGTCATATGGTAAAACTCTGAGCAGACGTTTAGCGTAAGTAGCGTAGTTACGTTGCACACGGGGGTGGCATAAGCGCTCGACTCGGCTCGGTCCACTCGCAAACCCATCGTCGTCGTCGTTGTCGTCTTTATTCTTTACCTCTTTTCTGCCCCTTTTTTTTCAACTCACCAGCGACATTACGATACGACGCGTATCGTTAGAAGATCATTCGGCTAGGACGAGTACCGTAGGTTTGATCAGTCAGTCTTTATCTGTCCCCATTTTATTCTTGACATCATTTAGTTCGCTATAGGTTGATACGATTGTATGCTTGAAAAATAGAAACGGAACGTTTACTGTCAGCTAAACGTCCACCGATCTCCGAGCAGCTTCTCGGTTGCAATCCGTTGGACTCCATGCAGCAGAATTAGAACGTTCGATACTTATTAGGTAGCACCGTAAATAAGTTGCAAGCAGGAGCGCAGATTTTGAGGTTCCCAGAGTGCAAAGTTCAAAGATAGAGCCACCGGAGAAGTCAAAATTTCCATCTCTATTTCCCAATGGTCAGAAACATACGAATACCTCGCTCAAGTATCGTTGAACAAACCCCCGCACCCGATACGCGTAAAACACAAGCTACTTAATACCTCGAATTACGCTTCCCCCGAGAAGCTAAAGATTACTCAATCTGCTTACTGTCTGATTCCAGCGTGAACCAACGCAGCGCCGGCCTCGCTCAACGACGATGCCTGTAAGCCGTAGATCCGAGAACTCGTATCGACACGGTGAGTATTAGATTATTCGGGTACGCGTCGAAAGAAGAAACGACCCAGCGGCGAACTCTCGTTTCAGTGCAGGTCTGGCTTCGTGGACGCAGGACGCAGAAACAGGAACAGGAACAGGAAGAGGGTCGAATCTCTTTTCGCGCTGGATTCGTAGAAAGAGGAAAAAAAAGAGAGAAAGAAGAAGCCTCCTAGAGGTGGAGGACGAGTAAGAGTAAGAGTAGGAGGAGGAGGAGGAGGAGGAGGAGG